TGAAGTCTTGGTTCAGAGTTCATGGCCTCAGTCCTTCGATGATTTTTCCTTAGAACCTAACTAATAATTGTTGGGGGAAACTCCAGAAATTTCACAGAAATCACAAATATCCTCTGCAATTGTTTTTTTGGAAGGAGGTTTGCAAGTAGCCAATCTCAGAGTACTATTCAGTTCTCCTTGCTGCTGATTGGCTGCTGCCCTATAACCCATCTCTGGCAGATGCACCAGCATTCCCGCATCATAACAGGTTGCTCTATCACATATAGCTATCTCCAGTTTTCTTGGTTTTGTTCTTCTTAAAAGCCCTAAGATCCCTAAGATGCCGCCAAAATGCCCTGCACCTTCTAAGGCTTTATTAATACAGTATTTTATTAAATGACAGCTGTGGGAGACATAACATATTTGGGATTTAAACTATAAAATAGTCATTTATAGGCATTTTTCTGACCATATCTGGAACTTGCAGTTTTTTGCAATTTGTGGGTGCTCTAGAAACGTAACCCCTGCTAATTTTGGGGGTCAACTGTATCTTTTTATTTCTTCAGTTCTACCTTTGTGTCTTTCAGGAGAATGTTAACGTTTTCCTCATATATAAATGTTTTATTTCTTGTTAAATTTACTCCTAAACATCTTTTTGTTTGTTTGTTTTCTGAGACAGGGTCTTGGCTATACAGTTCAGGCTGGTCTTGAACTTCTAAAGATCTTGTCTAATTCATTTCTTCATCTTTGATACTGTTACAGATAGACTTTGCTGTTATAGCCTCTAAACTTGTATATATGGATACTGATTTTGGTATATTAATTTTGTGACTATTTCACTTAATTTTCTAATTTTTGAGCTAGTTTTATCATTTATTTTATTTATTGGGGTTTCTGGATATGCAACTATGTTATCTGCAGAAAGAGAGAGTTTTCTGCTTCTTTACTAAGTGTAACATCCATTTAATTTCTTGTGTTTAATGGCATTAGCTCGTACCACAAGTACATATTAAGTGGAGATAGTAGGCACCTTGATTTTAATGATTTTTCTGGAAATAAGATTTTGACTCCAGGACAATGATATACACAGGTTGAGCATTTTAAATTTAAAATTCAAAATATGAGCCAAGTGCAGTGGCACATGCCTGTAATCCCAGGACTCAAGAAGCTGAGGCAGGAAGATTGCTTCGAATTCGAGGCCAGCCTGGACTACATAGTGACTTCAAGGCCTGCCTGATCTACATAATGAGACCCTGTTTCCAAAAAAAAACAACAAAAAAAATCAAACTATGAAATCTGAAATGTGGAGTTAGATGCTATTAGTATTATTTAGTAATTTCAAATTAATATTCATAAGTGATATTGGTTTGTAGCTTTTTGTTCTGTCATTATTAAGTTTGAGTGTTCATTTTATACTTGTTTCATAAAAAGAAATGAAAGACTTTTTTATTTTATACTGGGGATTGAACTCAGGACTTTGTGGTTTCGAGGCAGGCGCGGTGCCACTGAGCTAAATCCCCGCCCCCACCCCCCCTTTTTTGAGACAGGGTCTCACTTTGTAGTTCAGGCTGTCCTTAAACTCACTGTGTATTCTGGCCTGGCCTGGAACTCATAGCAATCCTCCTGTCTCAGCCTCCCAAGTGCTTGGATTATAGGTGTGGGTTACCATACCTGGCTCAACTTTTTCCTTCTTAATGCTCTGAAACACTTGTGGAGCATTGGGACCGCTTGATTGTAATAGGTTTGGTAGAATTTCCTGTGAAACTATCTAGGCCTAGTTCTTTTTCTGTGGGGTAGTTGCTTGGTAATTTTATCTATTTCATGCTTAAATGCCCTAGTACCAATAAGATCAATGGTAGTCTATATTTCTCCAAGAAATTATCCATTTCATTTAGATATTCAATTTATATAGAAATCTGCAAAGTAATTTTTTACAATTTACAATTTTATTTTTATTTCAATAGGAACATATTCTCAGCATGTTCATTCTTGAGGAGGAGGTCTTTTTCTTCCTATGACAGATTTATAGGAACGGTAGGCTGCCACTACATCTGTGACTCTCACCTGCGCAGTTTTTCTTTGTATGCTCTGTTCCTAGAAAGACTTGTGGTGGGAGCAGGAGCAGTTGTTGGCTGGGATTTGGTCTATTTTGTTTCTGCTCTTTCTCCAGCTTATAGATAATTTGAAGGTTTGGTATCTTCTGTTTTCTGGCTATGCTAATTGTATGGTTTTGTGTGGCCTTTCTGTTTTCTTCTTATTATCACGTATTGTTTTTAGGAGGGAAGAGGGAGGGAGAGACAGGGAGACAGAGGGAATGAGGACTGATTGATTTGCAGCTTCCATTGTCCTCAGATACTTGGAAGTCTTGTTCCTGGTGTGTTTTTTAGCTTATATATTTTCTCAAGTTTTACATGCATTGGGACAACTGGACAGTTTGTGAGACCTAAAAATGTACACTGTTTTAGTTGAAATGTTATTTTTCAACAGGTTTCTAAGCGAGTTGTAGAATTTCATAGCATTCTTCTTTGGTTAGACAGTCATTAATTTGTTTTTAATTTTTAAATTGGTCTATGTTTGTAATACATGATGTTTACATTTGTTTTGGGGGAAAAATATATAATCATTTTCTATCTCTCCTCTATTCTTACTCTCTTCTTTCTTACTTCCTGATTCCCTTCCCCTACTGTGAAAAGTCTGGCTTTATTTTACTCTTTATTTATAGTTGCATTTCTCTTATTTCTTGTCTCAATTAGCTTAACATAATGGTCTTAAGATCCTTCCATTTTCCTGCTGAATTTCTTCGAATTTAAGTTGTCACTTGAAACATCTGTTTATGAGCCTGAACGATAAATGAATACATAAGAAAGTTTATAGTAGCTTATGTCATTTGTAGAATCAACAGATATTTGTGTCTTCATAGTTTGATTCAAGGAGATTGAAATCCAATAGCAGCCATATCCTGTGAATAGCCAGCAATCTTAGTCGACTGAGTCAGTGGTTAATAAGCTCTTTGTGAGTGCCCCAGCTTAAGAAATATATAAATGATGGGCCAGGGATATTTAGCTCAGTGGTTCTGCCACCTGCCTCGCAAGCACAAAGTCCCGGGTTCGATCCCTGGTACAAAAAAGAAAAAAAAAGAAAGAAATATATAAATGATTGGCAGAATACTTTTCAAGGGGATGCTGTCTTTCATAGATTAATTGGATTCCATGATAAGGAAAAAGAAAGAAATCAGCACCTATTGAATATCTCGTGTCGGACATGAGGCTGAATGCTTTTATGTAGTTTAGCTGCCCATCTTCCTACCAACCCATGTGTAAATTCCTTGTAAATCTAAGAGAGATAATGAAACAATTGTACTTCCTGTAACAAGGAAGGTGCCATTAACTAAGGTCACCAGTTCCATTTTTGGGGTGATTCCAGTTGGTTTCACATTAAACTCAAATCTCTTCCCCTATAGTTTATATCCATTGTCTGGTTTCTATTTCTCAAGACTCAGTATAAGCTTTTTTTAAACTCATGGCCCTTCAAGTATCTAAAGCCAGCCAGATCCTGTGTTTAATTCTTTCTGTTTTCTTTAATTCTTTCTCATGAGACTTGTTTTATGACCCACCACCTGTCTAATTTCAGTACTGTGACCACGTGGAAGCTTTTGTGGTAGTCACATCACACTGTTAAATCTCACTGGGCTTATAAATTGAACAGAACCTCATAGCCTGTATCATAGTTGCTGCTCCTTATCCCAGGTTGTCTTGGGAGCTTAAGAATAGAAATGGACATTTGATTTATATTCCAGCCCATTCGGTTGATAAACCTATTTGGGTCCATTGTGGTAGCAGTCCCTCCCAGCTTCAGGTTTGGGGAGAATTCCATTAATCTCATAATTCAGTTTTGGTTAGAAATATTAACTCGAGCACAGTTGAGCTTAAGGGTTAGTGCTAGAGACTTTTCTTCAGGTTTAGGCATTAACCAATGCCTGTTATTTCCCAGTGAATGTTTTATAGAACATGAAGGTCATAAGATGCTCTGTGATATGGGTCAGATAAGTTGGGAAATACTTCTTACTGCACACAATGGTGAGGACTCTGATGATTACAGGAAGGAAGTCTTTTTTTTCTTTTGGTACCAGGGATTGAACTCGGGTCCTTGTTCTTGCGAGGCAGGCAGTGGAACCACTGAGGTAAATCCCTGGTCCAAAGGGGGGATTTTTTTTTTTTTAGGAAGTCTTTAACCCATCTATGCTTTTTTGACAGAAGAACCCTCCTTTTTTTTTTTTTTTTTTTTAGTAACATCAAAAATAATGAAAAAACAAAAAAACAAAACCCACACTACAGTATTTTTTGTCTTATCCAAAAAGATGTCCTGAACAACTTAGTTATCTTGTTGATACCCAGACCATGTGTTACTTTGAGCTAACAGTCAAATCAATCACAAAACATTTTAATTTGGCTTGTTTTTATTGAACTCATATTGGTCTCCAGATCAATATCTGTTATTGCTAAAAGACCACCAGTGTGGAATCTTACCTCCTCCTCCTCTTCTTTTTCACTATAACTGGTATAAGTTTTGCTCTATTGTATGTATATATTTCTGCTTTAAAGATAGTCCTCTTTGACAGAGAATATGGAGATAAAACTGAAATTGAGATTTCCTACTTTACTGTGCCATCTATAACATTATCAGCCCCGATCAGTAGATTTTTTCCTTCCTGGGCTTCTCTATCTCTAAATGAAAATTCAAAGCCTATTTCATTCTGTTTTTTTCCAGAAGTAGTAAATATACTTTTTACCTTCTTGATGTACTTGTTTGTGTTTTCTTGACACCATTACATATTTGCATTTTCTGTTAGGAATTTTAAAAGTGTACATAGTTCTTACAAGGATGTAATTCTTCTAAAGACCTTATTTTAAGCAAGGGGAAAATATGGAAATATTTAGCAGAACACTCAGTACCACTGCTACATTAGTTAATAAGCAACAGAAAAACATTAACACACTAATCAATGTTTTCTTTCTCTACAGGAACAAAAATTGAACACTTTGCAAAAATTGGATGGAAAAATCATAAACACTCGATTAACAACCCGTAAGTATGTCAGAGATATGAAATAATGAAAACTTGGTTTAGTCTGCCATGTAATACGTATACTTGAAAAGCAAATGTGAAGTCTTAAAGATATTAACTAGAATATTTTGGGTATTTTTTCTTATAGAAGGCTGATGCCCACTGGGCATATAATCCTAACATTCTTGGAGGCTAAGGCAGAAGAATCACAAGTTTCAGCCCAGCCTGGGGAATTTAGCAAATTAGTGAGACTCTGTCTCAAAATAAAAAATAACATAGGACTTGGGATATAGCTCAGTGGAACTCTTTTGGGAATGCCATTTAATATGATGTTGGCTGTTAATTTGTCATAAATGACTATCAGATTGAGATAAGGTCCTTCTTTACTTATTTTCTTCAGGACTTTAAAAATTATGAATAGATGCTGGATTTTGTCAATAGCTTTTTCTTGTCTATTGTTATTTTCATGTGGAAAGAAATATGTTCTTTTTTAATCTCCAACTAGTCTAACACTAGCTGGGTTTCCTGCAACTCAGTTCTGGCACAAAGCATCAGAGTTAGCGCAGACTTGATGAGTTGAAGCTTCAGCCCTCTACAAGTCTGCCCTCACTTCAGCTGCAGGTGGTCCAGTGACCCCCCCTCAGGTTTGATAACTCCCTAGAACTCAGGAAGTGCTATAATTACAGTTATAGCTTTATTATGAAGGATACACATCAGGAACAGTCAAGTGAAGAACAGGGCTAGGTCTGCGAGGGTCCCACTGCAGAACTTTCATGCCTCTCCCTATGAAGAGCAGGTTACCCTCTGGTCTCCCTTTCAGTACATCACGGTGTTCCCCGGCAAGGCAGCCCTTCTGTGATCAAAGTTTTATTGGATTTCATTGTGTAGGCATGCTAAGTAAATCACTGGCCACATAACTACACTCAGTTTCCAGCCTTACCCCTTCTTCAGGATGTTGAACTGGCTCAGAAGTCTAATCATGCCAGTGTGCACAGGGCTGATTTATCTGGTGATCTGACTCCCATCTTGAAGACAACTGTGACCTACTGCCTCACTTACATAACAAAGGCACTACTATCACTCAGGGTTTCAGAAGCACCATGGTGCTAGGAGTGGTGGCTCAGGCCTATAATCTCAGTACTGGGGAGGATGAGGCAGGAGGATTACAAATTCTAGCCCAGCCTGGGCTACACAGTGAGCTCAAGGCCAGCGCGAACTACATAGCAAAACACTGTTTCAAAAAAACAAAAAACAAACAAAAAAAGAGACACCATGGCATGAACCCAGGACAAAGACTGGCCAAATTTTTTATTATACAGCATAGGTATTATGGAGTTAAGCTTTTTTAAAAACTCAAAATTTTTTAAAGACTCAAAAGGTTGAAACTACTCATAATCTGTCTTTTGGTGGTAAAAAGAATATTCTCTATGGACCAAGCACAGGTTCAGTAAAAACTACAATTACTATCTCACGTTTTATAACTCTTTCTTTTGTATTTAGGTATTCCCAGTTCCAAAAAGAATACAGTTTAGATGAAATAATGGCATCTCGAAAAGTTTTTGACTTTTTGACTATCTTACAATGTTGGTAAGAAAAACATATTTTAAGATTTATAGATGGATATAAATGCTCCCATACCTGCCTTTCCCTCTGTGATTAACCTTGGGCTCTGTATCTTGGCGTACCTTTTGTTGAACTCCTACAGTGTAGTCCACACTCTGGGTTACTTCACTAAAGTACTTTTACTGCCTATTCCTGCTCAGAGACAAACTTTCTTCTCCCTCTTGAAAACTCTTGAAAACTTCTTCTCCCTCCCCATCTCATGACTTCTAACTGCTTTGGTTGTTTTAATTGTATTTATTAAAATGTAGCTTAGGCCAGTGGAGTCCAAAGAGTTTTTCATTGAGCATTTTGTAAATGCCCAATATAGGAAACTAATTAGACCTCTCTGTAATAGTAGCTAAGGGTAAAATTAAAACAAGGGAAAAAATCATAGTCTTAATGATGATAATAGTTGTATCTTATAAATTGCCTCACAGTGTCTGTTTCCTAGATAATTAAATGAGAACTGTGTAGCTCCTGACTGTGTCCTAGTATATCCTTGGCTGTGTCTTGGAGATATCGGCTGGGATGCAGGTGAACAAGTCCCATCAGGTTTTATCTGTTGCAATCTGAGAGTCATCTGCTGAGAATATCCTGCTGCGCTTACAGAGGAATCTTGTATATGCAACCTTCTTTTACAACTTGCTCCAAGGAAAAGATCTATTTCAAAGAGATCTTAGGAGTTTTAACCATGGACTTTCTGGTAGCCCTTATTCTATTCTTCCTTAGTTTCCCAAAGGATTTCAGGACTGAGCTATTTGGAATATAGCAAAATTAGTGCTACATGGGCCTATAACAGAATCTTTATTTTATTAGGATGGGAAATAACCTTTTGGACTCCTCTGAAAGCCCCCAGAAAGTTGTCTTATGCATCTTCAGAGGCAAATATGAGATTCTTGGCAATGAGAACTTTTCAGGAGAGACACTAGAGACCAAGCAGTGACTGACAATATTTAAGGTCTTGTTTGAGGGTAATTTTTCTTTTTCTTTTTTGGTACTGGAGATCGAACTTGGGACCTTGAGCTTGCAAGGCAGGTGGTGGAACCACTGAACTAAATCCCCGGCCCATCATGGGTAATTTTTAACTGTAGATATCAGAGAGAAGATAGTGCTCCCACCAGCAAGCATAGTCAGACTGTCTTCTCTTATCTTGCTCTGAAGTCCTGGGATTGAGGTGGCGCTGGGTTTAATTATTTTTACCTTATCTTAGTCCCACTTCAGATGGTGCTGCAGCAGCAGTTCTGGCCAGTGAAGAATTTGTACGGAAGAATGGCCTGGAATCTAAAGCTGTGGAAATTTTGGTACAAGAGATGGTAACTGATTTTCCAAGCACATTTGAAGAAAAAAGCGTTATTAAAATGGTATGTCTGAGATTCTGTCTTAATAATCAGACTGAGGAAGTAGTATTTAAAATTGCCAGGTGACATTTTGTTGATATCTGCTCTGAAAGTTATTTACTTGCAAAAAATTGGTCTAGAAATTATAACCAATCCTTATGAATCTGTTAAGAGAAAACAAATGATAAAAACAGATGCTTCTTATGATGGAGCTATGAGTAGATAATTTTCAATTAACTGGACATACTTTTCTTTTTTATGAGTTGATGGAGTATGCCTAGAATGCTTACTGAGTTAAGGGAAAGACAACCATGTTTCTGGGGAGTTTTCTTTTCTTTCTTGTGGTGAGGTCTCATTGTGCTGCCCAGACTGCGTTTGAACTCTTGGACTCAAGTGATCCTCCTGCCAAAGCATAGGTTTGCCCTACTACACTTGGATCCAGAGAACTTTCTTAACACTTAGCATTTCAAAAATCCTGATAAGAGGCAGATTCAAGATGGCTGATTGGAGGCACCAGCATTTGCCTACTTTTCCACAGAACAGAATCAGAACAACTAGGGTGTAGCTGCTTATTGGGGTGAGTAATCATGGGACTATGCTGAAGTTCAATAGAGGACAGGGAGACTTGGGGAAACCCGGAGACTTTGGGTAATACGACAGAGGGTAAAACAGAGCCCCCAGCACTGATCTTTTTGAAGTACAGCAGAGGGAGGGGTGGAAGGTGAAAGAAGGTGTTTAGTTACTTTGTATGGTGCTGAGACAAAATACCCGACACTCAAAGGAGGAAAGGTTTATTTCAGTTCACAGTTTGTAGAGGTTTCAGTCCATAGTTGGGTGGCTCCAAGGCAGGGTGGCATGGCAGAGGGGCATCATGAAGGAGGAATAGTCCATGGAAAACAGGCAGAAGACACTGAAGTAGCAAGCAGTAGCAGCTCCAGCCATGACCTAATTGCACCTGGACCTTGGTGAATACTTAATCTTAATGAATGGGGATTTAATCCAGCTGATGACCCATCCCGAAGCAAGCACAACTAGAGGTGTTTGAAGTCCCACTCCTGGAACTCACCCCAGTAGCAACAGCAGAGAGAAATAACCCGACTGTTGTGGACATCATACCTATGAGGGACCTTAGCATCAGCTCTCCCATGCCCTACCAGATCATACATTGCTGATAAGACAAGAGGTGAGTGCCATAGGGGGAACTGTGACCCCATCCCTTGTCCTTCCCCATGAAACACTTGGAGCTACATCAATGACTAAACACAGGATAAGAACTCCTAAGCCCATCCACAACTGGAACAACCAGGAACAGAATTGCTTTCAAGTATCAGAGCTGGTATCAACAAAGTCTGAGGAAACTCCATTATCTGATGGGGGCTTTCAGTCCCATTGTAGGGGTAACCATAGAGGGTACATCCCATGCTCTTCTTCCCGTACCACACCTATATGAACCATCAAATGGATCCCCATCTTGCAAGATCTTCAGAGAAAGTGGGTCCCCTGGGCTCTGACACAGTGCATATTGTATCAAAACTCACTAGTCACAGCCCAAGAAGTCACACGGAAACTACCATGAGATCCAAGTGGTATTAAACTTAACACTACACAGCAAGCTAATATCCCAGGACACATCATCAAAAGAAGGCTGCTTGATAAGAAGCCTCAGATAAAAGTGAAAGAGATACCCATCCCAACATATCCACAGATATCAACCTGAAAACATAAGAAATAATAAAAAACAAGGAAATATGAAACCTCAAGTTCATAACTCTAGTAATAGATGCACCTGGAAAGTATGCTGAGTGAAATAAACCAGACACACAAACTTAAATATGGTATGGTGTCTCTCATTTGAGAGAGGCAAAGTACTAATAAAGAAAATAAGAAAAGATGGATAGAGACAAGGGGATGGATCTTTTGCAACAGGGAAGTGGTCCAAGGGAACAAGGGCAAGGGGTGAGGAGGAGGGGAAGGGGAAATGAGAAGAATAAGGATGTGACATGTACAGGAACCTAATAACCCCAATTTATGTAAACACTATATGCCTTAGCATGAGATGAGATAAATAATATCAACAAGTTAAGAAAAGGGGATAGGGAAACTGGAGAGGGGAGGGGAGGGAAGGAAAGGGGATTTTTAAAAAGCTGTCATACGTAAGCATTCTACAAGATGATTGTAAATTGCGTGAATTGCAAACATGTACTAATAAAATTTAAAAAATTAAAAATCAAGTACAATGGCCATTATCATTGAGATTCCACTGCACCTAGGTCACAGTGGCTGTTAATACTGGCAAGACTTTGGAGAAAAAGGAAGGCCTTGTGCACTCTTGGTTAGGGATATAAATTAGTATAGCCATTATGGAAAACAGATGGAGATTTCTCAAAAAATTTAAAATAGAAATACCATATGATCCACCTATCCACTCCTGGTTATATATCGAAAGGAAATTAAATCAGCATAAAAGATAACACACTTGCATACCCATATTATTTGCAGCATTATTTATAATAGCTAAGATACGGAATCAGCCTAAATGCCTGTTAATAAATGAATGGATAAAAAAATTATATGTTTATCACAGCATTATTGAGCCGTAAAGAAGAATGAAATGACATTTGCAGGAAAGTAATGGAACTGAAGGATATCATAAGTGAAATAAGCTAGACACAAAAACTCAAGTATCACATATTATGTCTTATATGTGAAAAAAAAAAGATGACCTGAAAGTAGAAAAGAGACTTTCAAGAAAGAAAGTGAATGGGAGTAGGTGGTAGGAAGCAGAGGGCAAGATTGGGCAGAAGGAAAGTGAAAATGATCGAGGTATAACATATGTGTGTATATAACTTTCACATTAATTTATACAGTTAATGTGTTAATAATTATAGTAATTTTAAAATCCTGATTAAAGATTTTGTGCAAAATAGAGAAAGTAAAAAAGAGAATTGAGATTTAGAATTAATTGAATTTGAAGGTTCTTTCCTAACCCATAGGTAAATTATGTGGTAAATTACAGTTTAAAAAATGATTTTACAGGCCGGGGATTTAGCTCAGTGGTTCCGCCGCCCACCTTGCAAGTGCAAGGACCCGAGTTCGATCCCCGGTACCAAAAAAAAAAAAAAAGATTTTGCAGTGTTGTGAATTTGAAAATGACCTTACAACTTGACTAAGATCACATAGTTAGGTTTTGGCAGAGGTGGACCTTATATTCAAGTTTTCTGATTATTATACATTCTCTATTATTCTAGTTTTATTTCTGGAAGAAAATGTAAGTTTGCATGTTCTTCTATTATATAAGACCAAAAAAGGTTTAAGAGCATGGACTTTGTAAAAATGGTTTGAATCCTATATGGTTTTCTAAAAGAAGATTGTGTATTTTTGTATAGAAATTCCTTTATATTTTTAGTATATCCGTATAATGACAAATATCTTCAATTTACCACAATTATCCATTGTGATTTTTTTGTTGTTGTTACCGGGGATCGAACTCAGGACCTTGCACCCGCAAGGCAGGCATGGTGCCACTGAGCTAAATCCCCAGCCCTATCCATTGTGATTTGATAGAGTATTCTTTTTTTTTTTTTTTTTGGTACCGGGGATCTAACTCGTGTCCTTGCGCTTGCACAGCAGGCAGCAAAACCACTGAGCTAAATCCCCAGCCCAAGATAGAGTATTATTAACCTAGTACAAAATATGATCTGAGGAATTCTGAATCCTTTCATATAGATCTGTCAATATCTTAAACTTCTGTACTTTATAGTACACAATTTAATTTGTGCATTCTCCCTCCTGGATATTATTTTATTTGGACTTTCTGTCTAATAATTAAATGAGATTTTGATATGTGTGGTATTCTAAACTGTTAAGTTTTTGCATATATTAATTTCATAATACTTTACTAAAAAGCAACTTTTGGTGCCCTGGGTTTATATATGGTTTTGGTTTCAGGTTGGCTATGATATGACTAAAGAAGCTGCCAGAAGATGCTATGAGAAATCTGGCCTGGGACCAAGTGATGTTGATGTAATAGAACTTCATGACTGCTTTTCTGTAAATGAACTCCTTACTTATGAAGCTCTAGGACTCTGTTCAGAAGGTAGTATCTCCGAGACAGGCAGATGAATTGGTTAAATTTCACTGAGAAAGCTTCACTTTTACCATTAAACAGAAGAATTCATGAATTGCCTTTCCCTCCATGTTGGCTCTGCCAGTGAGCAAAGTGTGTGTAAGCAGTTTTAGTGGACTTTCTTAGAACACATAGTTTTGGACAATATGAACACCAAGTAACAGAGTATAAAAATAATTTATATTATGCAAATTAGGAACACATAATGTACCCTTAAATTTTAAAAAGGATATAACACTACACCCAGCAGCCCAGGTATTTTTCTTTGCTTTTTATGTGGTTCTGTGGATTGAACCCAAGGCCTTTGCTCTAAGTTGCATCCTCAGTGCTTTTGTCATTTTTCATTTTTGAGTTGGGGTCTTACTAAGTCACTGAGTTGCCCAGGCTGGGTTCAGACTTATGAGCCTTCTGCCTCAGCCTCCTAGAGTGCTGGGATTACAGGTGTGAGTATTTCTAATTGTGTTAGGATAAAGACTCACAAAAAGAAAAATGGAAAAGGTGGTTGGGGACATCTGAAAGATTTTTTCTTTCATTTCTTAAAGTGTACTGTTTTCCTTTACTACTAGCAGTATATGAGAGTTCTAGTTGTTACTTCCTTGCCGACACTTGATATGGTCAGTTTTTAAAATCTCAGCCAAACAGAAGAGTGTATCGTAGTATTTTTATTTTAGTTTTAATTTATGTATAACTGATGATTAATGATATTAAGCATCTTTTCCTTTGCTTGTTGGTCACTCATATATCTTCTTTTGTGAAGTGTCTGTTTGGATCTTTGACCTCCCGCTCTCCTTTTTTAGTTCGTTTGAGACAGGGTTTCACTAGGTAATTCAAGGTGGCCTTGAACTCACTATGTAGCCCAGGCTGGCTAGAACTTGTCACAATCCTCCTACTGCAGTTTCCCAAGTGCTGGGTTTACAGACATGTACTACTGTGCCTGCCCCCTACCTGTTTCTTTTGTCCCCTGCCTCCTTTTTATGTTTTTAAATTTTTGTTTATTTAGCCTCTCTTTTAATTACTTGAGTATTTTCAGTATATCATTTTAATGTATCTATGGATTTTTTTTTTTACTATAACTCTTTGTGTTTTCATTCTCTCTTTCTCTCTCTGGTGGTTACTATAGGATAAGGTTTGGGCTCTGTTGTTCGTATGATAGGGCATGTGAACTTTAGAATATCCAGCATTTTTCTTGTCTTATTACTTACTAAATGCCAACGGCAGCTTCCTCCACAGTTGTGACAACCAAAAATGTCTCTAGACATTGCCAAATGTCTCTTGGAGGCAAAAATTCTCCTAGTCAGGGATACTACTCTAAGAGCTATAGCGTGTATACTTTACCTTCACAGTCTCCTTTGAGTTAATATTGTGCCACTTTACATGAAATGGAAAAACCTTGCAACCATTTAGGTACATTAACAGACTCCCCTCTTTTCACCTCTGATCCTTAAGTTTTCTCTCTTAATCATTTCGTTTTGCCTAAAGTATTTCTCTTAGCATGCTTTAAAGTGCAAGTCTCGGGCCGGGGATTTAGCTCAGTGGTTTCGCTGCCTGCTGCGCAAGCACAAGGACCCGAGTTCAATCCCCGGTACCAAAAATAAATAAATAAATAAATAAATAAATTCATCTCTGGGAGATGAATTCTCTTAGTTTTCTTTCACCTGAAAATGTCTTGAATTCCTAAAGGAAATTTTTGCTGGACCTAGAAGTCTTCTGGCATCCATGATTTCTAATGTGTCTGTGGTCATTTAAATTATTGTTCCTAATTGTTGTTCTGCTCTAATTTTCTTCTTCACCTCTGATATTAGAATGATTCATATAGTAGAGTAGACCTTTTGATATTATCCCACAGGTGCCTGAAACTTTTGTGTGTGTGTGTATGAGGTGCTGGAGGTTAAACTTGGGGCCACAAAGATCTGTTTATTTTTAGTCCCCCTTCTACCTGTTTTTTAGGTTAAATAATTTATATTGGTATATCTTTAAATTCACTGACTCCTTTATTTTTATTTTCTTTCTGCTCTTGAGCCCTTCTAGCGAGTTTTTGTGTGTTTGCTTTTGTAGTACTGGGAATTAAACCTAGGGATCATGTATACTAGGTAAGTGCTCTACCATTGAGCTACATCTCCAGCCCTCTAGTGAGTTTTTTATTTCAAATATTGTATTTTTCAGTTCTAAAATTTCCATTTGGTTCATTTCATAGTTTCTTTTTCTCTGCTGATGACTTGTATCTTTGTATTTGTTTCTAGTGTGACTTTTCCCCTTGTAGTTCTATTGTCTGTGGTCAAGTCTGATAATTCCATTACCTGGGCCTTCTCAGCTTTTACATCTACTAATGGTATTTTCTTTTGAGATTTGGTTGCATTTTTCTGATTCCTTATATATTAATTTTAGATTTTAGCTTGGACCGGGTGAATGTTATATTGTACAGATCCTCTAGTGAAAGTTGATGTTTTTGTCTTAGCAAGAAGTCAGCCCAGTTTATTTGACAAGTTCTGCTCTGTCTTTGGAGGGTGGTAGATAAAGTCATCATTCCATTCTCTAAGCTATGCGGGTTTAGGTCCATTTTATGTACACTTTGCTCAGGAGTGAGCCCAAGACTCAAATAGGTTCATGCATAGAATTAGGGGGTCCTCTTTTTCTTGATCTCCCCCCTGTGGCCTTCTTCCCTTACTCCCTAGCCTGCAAGAATTTCTTGCCCTGGTGCCTTTGGTTAGGGAAATGAGGTTTCTATTAGAGTTTGTGCTCACTGTGGGGTAAAACCATTAAGAGACAGAGCCTGAAAAAGGTAACTGGGAAATCATCATCACTGCAGTGACTTCTCCAAGTTTTCACTCTCCCTATAATCCCCATTTTTATTTTATCCAGTGTTTTCAGTTGTAATCAGTGGGGGAGAAGTACAGTAGAGAACATATGCCAAACTGGAACCCACCAGTTACCTACTCTCAGCATTAAATGTCACATATGTGATGATGATTTCAGGATTTTTGTGTTCTTAGCTCTCACTGCTTTAGGTATCCAGCTGCCTACTTTTCAGGTTTCTTTTTCTTTGCTTGTGCTGTCTCATAAGCCTCTCACACCTATGTTCAGAATTCAATTCCTGCTATTTCCCAAATTTCTTCCTCCCTCAATCTTCCCATCCTCTAAATGGTCAAACTGGAAGTTGTAGTGTCATCCTGGAGCCCTCTCTCACACAGCCCCCATTGTATCCATCTCTAAACCCTGTTGGCTATGGACTTTGCCCCCCAAATAAACCCAGAATATGACCGCATTGCTCCATGCTTTATCACCACCAGCATTGTTTCTTGGCGTAAATCATTGTAATAGTCTCACGGCTGGTCCCTGCATCTCCTTTGTCTTCTTGTAGTCTCTTCACTAGACTGAAGCCAAATGATCCTGGTAGAAGTATGTAGCAGGCTAGTGTCACTTTTCTGTTCAAAACCCAGTAGTTTCTCATCTGACCCAGAATAAGAAAGCCAAATGTGGTATCTTTACTCCCCACTTCCATCTCTCTGACCTCTTCTACTTCTCCCTAATTCAGCTTTTCTGCAGCTAAAGCAGCCTGCTTCTTCAAGCTCTCTAGGTTGCTCCTAGCCCAGGGCCTTTGATTTGTATCGTCACTGCCTTTAAGTTTTTGGCTGATGTCTCCTCAGTGGAAACCTCTGTAAATGCCTTGCTCGCATCTTCCTTGTCCCTGCACTTCCCAAACTCTCTTTTTTGCCTCATTTTCCTGGCACTTACGACCACTCTACATATTATTATTTCATGTATTGGCTATCCCTTCCTTACCCCCTTTTCCACATTAAATTAAATACCATAAGAGCAGGGATTTTTTGTGTTTTTCATTCATTACTGAATCCATAAGTTCTCAGGTTATGTTTTGGCACGTAATGGACACAATTGCTTTCCAAGTGTGCACATTTATTTTCCTGCTGCAGTAGATAGAGTGGTCATTTACAATACCTTCATCTCTGGCTCCTTGTCAGTTGGTAAGTTCAAGATCACTTTCCTCAGGAACCTTTTAATAATCTTACTACCTCACAGGTTTGTATATATTTTGGAAAAAAATGTGTAGTAAGGTTTTCTTAGGGATAGTTTGTATTTTGTCTGCTCTGACATGGTGCAATAGCAATATTAGCAGTTTTGAAAATGGGAATAGTAAGTAGAATGCATGTGATCATTGGGGCCTTGTAGTAGGTTCTGTTGGAAACAAACCAAAAAATAAGAAATAATGCCATAGCAGTGTGTATATGTTTTAAAATATACAACCTAGATTTAAAGCCAATTTAGGACTAGTGTTGGTTATCTAAATTCTGTGATGAGTCCATTTTATTTTACCAGTAGAGGAGAGTTTGTTTTTTGTCTCTTATTCTTGCCTTGGGTGTTTACTCATCCAGAAAATTAGAATAATAGCTTGAGGTTAAATTATATAAACACACAAAAATAATTAGAACAAGACTTGATATACATAAGTACTCCTTGTATATCATCACCACCACCATTATCATTATTTGGGGTGCCTCTTATTATTTTATCAGAAGTATCATCCAGAAGGATATTTAATGCAAATGCATGTACTTTCATTTACTTCTTCACTACCTGAAATAGTGACCAGAACATTGGAAGGAATGCTTAAGCTTCCAGGAATATGAAGTAATGTTTTTCTCTCACTTTTGTAGTTCAATAGCATTTTTAGCCATTTCCCTTAATTTTATGAAAGTGCCTTTTTTCTTGCTTTTCCCTGTTAATTAAGTATTTGCATACCCTACAGCAGTACAGTTGACAATGGAGGTAAATGAATATATCTGGGAAAATTAAGAATTTTAAATCTCCTATAATTATTTCAGGTATAATATTACACAATATTGTATCCATTTCAGATCCTTTCTTCTGGCTCTTGAATCTTAATATATTTGGAGCAATTTTGTAAGGTAGAAGAGAGCTTATAGGAATGAATAGGAGTTTTTGAAATGCAGGATATATCTGAAAAGATTAGCCTTTATTGCTTAATACTTATTTTTTAACTTTAGGAAATGCTTGTGCCAAATTGTCATTAAGCTGTTAAGAAATGTTTGCTCTTGACCCAGGGATTTAGCTCAGTGGCGCCGCGCCTGCCTCACAAGCACAAGGTCCTGAGTTTGATCCCCGGTACCAGAAAAAAAAGAAAAGAAAAAAGTTTACTCTAAGTAGTGATGCATGGCTGAAATCCTAGCCCTTAAGGAGCCTTAGGCAGCAAGATTGCAAGTTGGAGCCCAGCCTTGGCAATTTAATGAGACCCTGTCTCAGAAATAAGTAACAGATAGGTAGACAGATAGATGAATAGATGGATGGATGAATGGATGGGGCTGTAGTTCATCAGTAGAGCACTTTTGGGTTCCATCTATGTCCAAAAAAAATTCTGAGAAATTCTTAGCTATATAGATAAATTAAAAACATGCAATTTGTTTCAATATTATTTTTAATACTTGTGAATATTATTTTTCATTCTATAGGACAAGGTGGAACACTGGTTGATAGAGGAGATAATACTTATGGAGGAAAGTGGGTCATAAATCCTAGTGGTGGATTGCTTTCCAAGGGACATCCACTGGGAGCTACAGGTAATACTACTCACAGATTTCATAAGCTTTTGTCATTTTTGCCGTAAGTGTGGTTTAGTCCTTGCTTTGAGTGTAAGTTTGTGTTCTCTGAACTTATTAGCCGGTGCTTATTTTAAATTATTACATGTTTGGATTACATAATGATTACATTCATCAGGAGGAGTTGGTACATGTACATAATACATCTTAATTTTTTATGCCACTTTCTCTTCCTTTCCCTCCCAGCTTCATTTTCTCCTCTTCATCCTTCCTACCCCCATCCTTTTCCTATTATCTTTTATTTTGCTCTTTATTCATATTTTGATTTTCTCATATAAGAGAAATCATGCAATATTTATGCTTGTGTGTCTGATTTATTTCACTTAACGTTAATGTCTCAAAGTGCATCCATTTCCCTACAAATGACTCAAGTTTATTCTTCTTAATGACAGAATAGTACTCCATTGTATGTAAATACATTTTATTTATCCATTCTTCTGTTGATGGGTACATAGGCTGCTTCCAAGATTTAGCAATTGTGAATTATGCTGCTATAAACGTGGGTATGCATGTATCACTGTAATAGGATGACTCTTTTTCTTTTGGTACCAGGGATCGAACCCGGGTCCTTGTGCTTGTGGGGCAGGCAGCGGAACCACTGAGCTAAATCCCCAGGCCAGACTTTAACTCTTTTTGATTGGGTCTTTTATTTTGGGCGGGTCAATTTTTGAGGTTTTTATATTTTGTTTTACTTTTTTAAGCAAAACATTTATTGGTACATTTTAGATAGACATAATGATAACATTCATCATAGGGAATTTGTATCTGCACATGACCCATCTTCTTTATATATTTTAGATATTAATCCTCTGTCTGAACAGTAGATGGCAAAATTGCTTGCCTGTTCTGTTGTCTCTTCACTCTGTTAGTTTCTTTGTTGTGCAGAAGCTTTTTAATTTGATGTGATCTAATTTGTTGATTCTAAGTGTTACTTCTTGTGATTGGAGTTCTGGTCAGAAAATTCTTGCATATGGCTATGTCTCCAAGAGTTGTATCTATTTTGTAGCCTGCTCCATGTTCATGGCTGTCTCCCATGGCTTTTTCCCATCCAGTCACTATGGGAGGGTAACACTGGTAGCCCTGAAATGAAGTTGGTTTTTAGTTGTTCTGAGTCCCAAATTTAAATAATCAACCCCTTCCTCATATGGTGCTTGATTATTGTTTTGGTGATATGGTAAGTGCTCGTGCTTGAATCCCTCTCTGGCTGTTGCCTGCAGCGTGGAAGGAGTCCCTTTACAGCAAAACCCTGTGTTATTTTTGCAGTTCACAAAATGGCATGTTCTGCTGCCACTGCTCTTTGGATCTCCCAGCCTGGGACTCTTACCTTGCTTCTGAGAAGCCCCTACCCATGAGCTGGGAGAGCTGGGAAAACAGTCTAAATTGTTTCCTTCTTTTCTCTGCATTGTGGATTGTCTTTCCAACCTCTCTGTATCTTCTAATTTTTTCTTTCAGTTCCTTCCTGATTCCCAGCTGTTATGGCGTATATTTAGATTATCCTCTCAAAGCTTCATGCCCTCATGGGTGGGGCTTTTGAGAGTGACTGGGTCATGGGTATGTGATACTGGATTAGTTCACTGATTGGCTTAGCATAGTTCTTGGTATGGATGATGGATTTACTGAAGAGGGAAGACTCACCTTAAGTGTGGGTATCACCAACCAAGAGGCTTATAGACTGGAAGGAATAAAAAGGGAAAGGAGAAGGAAGCCGCACTGCTTCCTGCCTTCCATGCCATGGACTGTTTTTCCTCTTCCATGCTGCCCTGCCTTGGAGTCAGCTGACTGCGTAGTAAAACCTCTGCAAATTGTGAGCTACAATAAACTCTTCTTCCTTCAATTTGTGGGTATTTGGTATCTTGTCCTTGCAATGAGGAAGTCACAAAGACTCCAGTGATCCGCTTCTCTTTTTTTCTTCAATAAGCTGTTATTTTCCCATGTCTGAATTCTGGATCTCAGAGAGACTGAATTTTGCTATTGATCACCACTCCACCATTTTCTTTCCAGCAGGTGCTTTAAATGATTATTTAGCCATATTTAAATTTTTCCTTTAACTACAGTGTACCTCAATAATCTGGATTAATTGATGCAAATTTAAATTAATTGAGACTCTAAATTCAATAATGTGTATTTTTAAAAGTTTGATTGTTTTTAGATAGCTACAAAACTTAACTAATAGGATGTCTCCAGCAATCTTGCTAGATCTGCTAGATAAGAATCATTTCAAATGAGCACATTATTTATATGTTGTTGTATGCATGGGTGGCACTCCATGGAAATTAAGAATTTTACTATAACTGTTGCTAACCAGCCATGTAATTGTTCTATCAGTTATCAATTAATTACTTTGACTCTTAGTTCCTTAATTGTACAATGACAAACTTGTAAAATTTGCAATTTCCAAAATAACTTTGAGCACTAAAATTTGTGATTTACTTTTGAGAAGACAGGTGAGTCTTGTATTCTTTCCACATTGTCTTATTTTATTGCTTGATTCAATTAGTAAAATTTTATAATTTCTCATAGATCCAAAACAGAAGTTAGAATTAATAATGTATTTATTAGAGCAGTTAACCTGAGTTTATTTTTGCCATTCAAATTTAGTAAGCCCATAACCAAGTAGAAAAGATTGATGGAGGGAGAAGGAAAAGAAGAGAGACAGGTAGAAATATACAGTACACAACTATAGTTGCAATGTGATATGCTATCTTGCCATTTGTTTCATCTCCTTGGTTCTTTTCTTTCTCTTTTTTTATGCTATTTAAAAAATTTAATTGGGTATTTTTTAGGATTTTATTTTCTCTTTTAATATTTTGTACTGGGGATCAAACTTGGGTCCTTGTGCTTGTGAGGCAAGCAGCAGAACCACTGAGCTAAATCCCTGGTTTCTCTCTTCTTTTAAATTACTTTAAACAACTATTTTTTAAAGATGTATAAATGGTTTACTTTTAGATTTTTTTTTTTTTTTTGGTACTGGGGATCATACTCAGGACCTCACACTTGCCAGGCAGGTGTGGTGCCACTGAGCTAAATTCCTGGTCCTATTTTTAGATTCTTTTTTTGGGGGGGGGTACCGGAGATCAAACTCAGGACCTTGTGCTTGCAAGGCAGGTGCCGGAACCACTGAGCTAAATCCCCGGCCCTAAATGGTTTACTTTTAATAAATACTTATTGACTTATAATGTAAATAAGAATAAGCGAACATAGACTATTCTTGGAATTTAAAAAAATGGCACATGTAAATGAGTACTGTGATACAAATAATTTGAATATATTTATACTATATATAATTCTCCATCTTAGGATTTTGCTACAGAATATCACCCTAGAATTCTATTTTTTTTAAAATCACCTGGAAGAATTAGATGATGATTGTGAAATAGGTTCTCCCATCATGATATTGTTTCTGTCACTTAGAGTTTTGACAACAGATGTAGCTGGGGACTGAAGCACTTTACGAGAAAGCCTCATTCTTCCATCAGCTGGATCACGTCCAGAGTATTTCACCTGAATTTCTTGGCCAACTTCTAATCCTAGGGCAGTGGGATGTTTAATCTTTCATTGATCAAGTTGTGTGTTATGAAGTAGTACTGCAGTCAGATTTGGGCACAGTTTTACCATTACTCCAGAGTCTCATTTCAGTTATTGTGGCAGTATAAACAGCTCCAAATTCTAATTGGTATTCTTGGTCATCTTTACAGATTTCAGTGATGAATTCTCTTGCCTCATGCATTGCACTGGGTGTTGGTGCAAACACAGAATATGTTTCTTCATCCACTTGACTAATAGTTATACCTGTTTCAGCTTGAAGTCTTTTAAAATGATATCCACCTGGTCCAACAAATTTTGCTCATTTTGATAATGGAACCTCAACAGTTTCTACAACAGGTCCATTTTCTTTTCTGGATGCTCGAGGTTTTGAAATTCTTGTTCATAATCTGTAATATTTCCCTCTTTGCCACTGATGCTTGCTGAATAGCCTCCATTACAATTTTTATTGGTATTCCTGGTAATTTAGTATTAACCTGTAATGCAGTTATTCCCTTATTGGTACCAGCTCTTTTGAAATTCATGTCACCGTTGTAATCTTCAATTCCCAGAATATCTGTCAGCAAATGAAAATCTTTTATTCCACCTTTCTCGGGATTGATTTTGGTGATCAATCCTACTGCTGCACCTGCGACAGCAGATGATACTGGAACCCCTGAATTCATTAATGCCAAACTTCCACCACATGCAGATGCCATAGAAGAGGACCCATTTGACTCTAGGACTTCAGATGTAACTCTTAACAGTGAAAGGAAAATCTTTGGGAATAACAGGATACAAAGCTTTCTCTGCAAGAGCGCTATGCCCAAGTTCTGTCCTATTTATTCCAGTAACTTTGCCAGTTTCGTTAGTTGCATAAGGAGGAAACTCATAGTGCAGCATGAAATTTTTATCTTTTATCCCATTTATAGCTGTTATAATTTGATCTGATTTTATACTGGATTCTAATGAATCAAATGTAGCAGTACAAAGCACCTGTTCGTCCCCTCTGAAATAATGCTGATCCATGAAGAGTTTTAAATATATCTACCTCACAACTTATATTCCTAAGTGAAGTCAAATCATGTCCATCACATCTTTTATATTCATTCAAAATAATACTTCTAAAAACCTCCTTTGAAACAACATTGAAGAACTCCATTATTTCATATGGATCAGCCTCTGGAAACTTTTCTTTTAGTTGTTCCTCTGTATCTAATCTTATCTTGTTAACTTCATCTCTGGAAACTTTTATCACGTTTGTAATCTGTAAAAACTGTGTAAAGTTTCTCCATGGCAAGGTTATGAGCATGTTTCACAATGTCTGGTAGAGGGGTAAATATCTTCTGAGGTGTCCTTTTGGCAACCCCAATTTCTTTTACTAATTGCTGGATCCCTTGAATTATTTGTTGTGTATATTTTACTCCCACTTTGATAGC